TGTTCCTCCTTTGGTTTCTGGTGCTCCTGCCATCTGGTTCATCTGCAAGATAAAAGAAAAAAGCTCACTGGGGGTCTCCCTCCTTTTCATCCCCTCTGCAACCTCTCTAAGGGGCACTTCTTTGAGCCCAAGAACCTTCTCTGCATAATAGGAGCCACTATACTTCATAGCGGCAGCTGTGAACAAAACTCACTTGCTTTGACATCTCCCCGCTGTAGTTCAGAGGTGGGTGCAGGCTGTCAACAACCACCAGCAGGTCTAAATCGCCGATTTCAGCCTCTCCAAAGGGTTTGCTTGTCTCTTCACCAGCAAACAAGCAAGTAGAGATCTCAGATGATGGGACAAGGTCCCTGTCCCTGCTTGCCTAATATGGAGTAACTCACCCAACTGAACACGAGTGTGGTTTTTGTCTCTGGCCAGGAATTTATTCTCTATTCCTTAGTGCCAGGTTTCCCTCTGACACCTTACTAGTTCTTTCTGCCACTCTCTATATGCTATGGATTTATAAGCAAGTGGTTATGGGTGGAGGGGACCTCAGCTAGCTTGGCTATGTGAGGCATAGCCTGTTACAGCCATACTTGAGCCTCCCCCTTCTGCAGGCTGCTGTGTTGGACACGTGTTTCTCAGCCTGCTCAGTCGGAGCTGTGTTTACATGCACTCTCTAAAGCTGGCCTTTCTGGCAACCTTTTGAAGACCAGCAGAGCCATCACTAGAAACAAAAATGTGCAGGGAATTCAGAAACTCAAACTGGAATTCATAAATTCACAAATTCCCAAACTGTTGTAACATGGGAGGATTTTTAGCCAGCTGCATAAAGACTTGAAATGGCTCTGAGCTTGAAATTCAGCTGTCCTGGACTTACCAGCACTGATGAGGTTTTGTGGCCAGTCCTTTACTGTTCCAGGTTCTCAAGCCTTGTTAGTAACGCAACCATTTTCAACTATAGTATGACCTGGTAGTAGGTACCTGCATGGCCTAAAAAAGATCTCTGAATGTGATCAGGAAACCCCTCTTTCACATACTTCCTATCAAGGCTGCAACACCTTGATTTATCCTGATAAATTAAGGTTCTAGTCAGGTTTCCCACTTGCACCTAAGCACATGGCGTAACAGTTCTCTGCGGACTTCCTCTCTAAAGAATTTGATCTTGAGTAAAGATTGCCTTCTCTTAAGACTTTTTCCAAGTCTGTTGTCTTCTAATAGAAAAAGCTTATGGGGGAAGTTGTTTGGGGTTATTTTTTTCTTCCTCTGTCTAGAGCTAACCTGTCAGAGCAATAAGGTAGTCAACTTCAGAAGTTTAAAGGAGGATGTCTGGCTGCCATTTTTCTACCAACCGCTGGCTTGAGTCCTGTGCTATTCTGCTTTACACTCAGAGGGGTTGAAATTTGGCAGTTGGAGTCACGAGAGTTGTTGCACTGGAAATCTCAGCACCGAGGTCCTTGTGACTTGCTTTCATCCCTCATTCCCAGCTCAACACAGTCAAGCTCAGTGCCTGAAGCTTTCCAGGTTCTCTGTTACACAAGCTCCTCTCTTCTTAGAGGTCTGCTTTGCCAGATCTGCCTGGAGCGTGGGATTCCCTGGAGAATGAATGACAGCAGCACACAAGCTAAAACGATGGGTAATTCTGTTTTCTCAGGCTCTGTGCTTAGCTAGTCTGTGTTTCTGTCTTTTTTATTTTGGGGAACCCTCCTTCAGTTGATGAATGATGAATTTGAAAGGTGGAATTGTAAACTAGAGTTGGTCTTTCAGCCTTCCTCTTTGTCTTGATGGGGCCTGAAAATGATGGTGGAAGTCTTGGTGTTTGACAATCCCTGCAGAAGAGAAGGAAAAGAGACTTTCCAGACCCACAGTTATCAGGAAGTTTTTAAGTGTTTTGTTTTCTTCAAATCGTGTCCCCTTATGGCTCAGTGGCAAGGAGCATTTCTCCATCCATTAGAGAAGAAAGTGGCTCCTCCTGTGCAGGCTTGTAATAACCATCCGTGCTATGTAAGATCATTGCTGTTGTACCCGTCATTCAGGGCTGACTTTTGTCTTGCCGGTGCATACTGCTTGCTGCTGCGTGTCATTCCCAAAGAGGACAAATCCTACTATCGTTCATAGCCAGGCAATCAAAAGCTATTTCATTTACCCATGTATTCCTGTTTCTTTGCTGCTTTTCACATAATTGCCATTTGAACCAGAAGAGAGTTTGAGTGCTTTCCTTCTTTTTTTAAGCTTTTAAAGCACCTATGTGTCTTAACAGATTGAACACTTCAGAAAGAAACTATTTCTTCAGTGGGACAGAGGACAATAGCTCTCGTACAGCTGTATACGGCTCGTCTTAAAAGGAAATAAAAATCCTACCATGAACCACACACTGTGTTTTTGAAATCCTTTATTCAGTGCTCTAATTCTGAACAATGTTTTTGGCTTATTTAATTCTCCTCAAAATTGAATGTTGAACAAAACTCTCTTTTTTTCTTTTAATCTACTGTAATAAGAAAGGAGTAAAATGAAAAATGTATTCCTT